AAATAGGCATGTTAAGATCACATTATATGTAATTTCCATGCTACACACCATGATTTGATCTATGTCGTTTGGCTATATTGGTATACGTGATTACTGTTGGGTTTAGACACGCTCAATGTGACGAAAGCCTCTTTAGTCCTATATTAGTATGGTCAATGGACGAGATTGTAAGGAATACATTTTTATATGATAGCAATTTTGAGCTCATAAGGTGTACACATTTATAAGGTACATAACATATGTGGCCCAAGTGGGAGATTGTTGGAATTATTTCAATAATTATGTGGGCTCACATATGTGACGTAAATGTGTATGGCTATCTTAAAGAAAGTCCAAATTAATTAAAGGTTATTGGGTTGGACTTATGGGTATTAAACTATAATTATGGGCCTAATGTGTAGAGACAATTAGGGCTTAGTTGTGATTTATTGATGGGGCTGAATCACAATTATAATATAACTGGACTCTACAGTTATATAAAGGGTCGTGGTCCCCAACAAAACGCATTCATTCCGTCTCTTCTAAAATCCATCGTTAGAGAGATAATTAAGGAACTGCGGATTCTTTGGAAGACCTGTCCCAAATCCAGTGGAGATTCGAAGATTCGATTCCGTTATGTAATGTACGCTTCCGTGTTTATGTTTCTGTATAATTCTCGTTGATTCAAGCATGTTGGTTCTTGGGAATTCGTATGTATGTACGATAAAATTTCTAACACTAATTTCATCTGTAAATATGCTTCAAATGGAATTATTAATATTCTGCTTAGAAATAAATGATTTTTTTTCCTTTTGTTGTACTCCTTCCGTCCCAATTTAAATGATGTTTTGGGTTGTTTCACACATATTAAGAAAATCAATAAATGTGTATAGATTATAGTAAAAAGCATAGGAAAATACTAATATATCCTTGACATTAATTGTTTTACAACTAACTAATTAGAAGTTATAAAGAGTAAAATTGAAAATAGTGCAATTAATGATGCATTAAAAATCTAAAATGACAAATAATTTGGGACAAGAAAAACTCTCTAAAAAGACATATAATATGGGACAGAGGGAGTACAATTTATTGGAATTCTAACTTATGTCTATATTGCAAGATGTTGTACTATTTCTTGTGGTTGCAATAATAAATAAAAACATACATTTTTACTAAATAAAAATAAATCACAAAATATAAATAAATAAAATAAGGGTCTATTAGATATACACCCCTCATATGGAAAATATATAGGGATAGGTCCATCCCTAAAAATCTTCCTTTGAGATACTTCCTAGAGAGGCAAAAGTATTATGGTGCCCTTATTTGTAATTTTCGCCCAACTGCATTTAGCATTTTCACCTACTGCATTTATCATTTTGGACTTGCATTTCGTATTTTGTACTGCATATATCATCATTTTTATTTTTAATTATTTGTTTTATTATCGTATATATATTGTACCTTTTTTATATCATTTTATTTTTTTATAAAATATTTTTTTTTTAATATTTTAATTTTTTTAATTTTTTGATTTTTTAACTTTTTTCGATTTTTTTAATTTTTTCGATTTTTTTAATTTTTTAATTTTTTTTAATTTTGTTAATTTTAATTTTTTCTTTTTTTTTATAAATTGAAATTTTGGTAAAATTACAGAACTGAAAGTATACTACACATGACTACAGTTTACTACAAGTTCAATAGTCCTGTACAGTTATATATAGTCATGTACTGTCTTTTTACCCCAAAATTGATGATATACACCAATAAAAAAAATTCACAATTTATCTTGATATTATAAATCATCTAACAAACAAAAAATGAGAAAATACAATCACATGCATATATTCTTCAAACATGAACAAGTATTAATGTACATTAAAAACCTATAGCATACATATAACTGTATGTTACTACAAGTGACTATAGTTATTTACAATTATCTATAGTTATATATTGTAACATAAAGTCTAGACTACTGTAGCATGAATCCAACTTCACAAAGGCACTTCATCGAATCTTATTCTCTGCAAGTCATAAAATTATAATAAAAGCAAAACCTGCGACAAAAAAATACGAGTTAAATAGCAAAATGAAAAATGCGAGTTAGATTACATGAAAAATACAAAAAAAAAAAACATGATTTTTTTTGTTGATAAATTTACTGAACTACTGAAATCGATTACAAATGACTATAGTATATACAAGTCATATAGTCATGTATAGTTAGTCATGACTATACATGACTACATATGACTGACTATATATGACTAAATATAATTGTATAATCACCTCACTCAAATCACCAATGTAAGTAACCACTACAGGTTAAATTTCTATTACAGACAAACAAAACTCTCACACTTTAGGCATTTCGAATCATCTTCAAATAAATACAAAAAATAAATTACATACGATTTATAATAAAAAATAAAATTACATGAAAAATACAAAAAACATGATTTTTTTTTTGATAAATTTACTGAACTGAAATTGAGTACAAATGACTACCACAAGTCCTATAGTCATGTATAGTTATATGTAGCCATGACTATACATGACTACATGTGACTGACTATATATGACTGTATATGACTAAATATATATGACTAAATATAACTGTATATTCACCTGACTCAAATCACTCATGTAAGTAACCACTACTGGTTAAATTTCCATTACAGACAAACAAAGCTCTCACACTTTAGGTATTTCGAATCATCTTCAAATAAATACAAAAAATAAATTATATTATAATAAAAAATCAAATAAATCCAAAGAAAAATATTTTAATATTAATTGTTCACAGATCTTCAACAACATAGTAGAGCTGTGTTTTTTTTTTATTTATATATAAATGCAGTAAATATATAAAAATCGAACACCACCAATTCCAGATCTGAAATTCACCATTAGATCTGACTACACATCGTCGGATCACAATTAAAATTTTCGAATTTAGTTGATTTTCATAAAAAAAAACAATAAAATAAGGTATGAAAAAAATTCAGATCTTAAAAAATAAATTAAAAATGAATGGACATTCATAAATTAAAAAAATTAATTAAAAAAAGTGAAGTGAATGGTTTAGTACCGATTTCAAGGCGGTGGGAGGAGCAACGACGGCCGACACAAGGCTGTGGCGGAGCAGGGACGCAAGGCTTTGACGGAGCAGCGAAACAGCCGGTGCGGAGCGGCGGAGCATGGCGGAGCGGCGGAGAAGGCGGAGAAGCGGAGCGGTGGAGAAGGCGTGCAGCGGAGAAGACGGAGAAGCGGAGCGACGGAGAAGGCGTGCGACGGAGAAGCGGAGCGGCGGAGAAGGCGGTGGGATGTGAGAGAGAGAAGAGAGCAAACATTTTGAGAGAGAGAAGAGAAAACGTGGGAGGAGGAAGAGAGAAGAGAAAACGGCTGAGAAGAGGGAGAGAGAAAATAATGAGAGTTGGTGAGAAGATTAGGATTTTAAATTATAACTAAAAGGGCAAAACTGGTATTTTAATTTGTCTAGGGGGTCTATCAAATTAAGATTAGAATTTGGATTTTTGACTAGGAAAGAAAAATCTATAGGACCTAACCCTATATATTTTCAAAACTAGGGGGTTATCCCTCATTTCCCTATAAAATAATAATAGATGACAAGAGTAGTATGACCTGCTGATATATTTGATAGTATGTTAGGGCATCTCCAACCATAGACAATTTGAGATGGTAAAAACAATAATTTAGCAAATATAGCTTTTGAAGAAGAAAAAATTCACTCCAAAGGGAGAGGTATATTTTAGCTTACAAGTTAAAAGTTCATCTACAAATGCTATATATACCATTTACTATTCATGAAAGCTAAATGATAAAAACATTAAAATAATAGATTTGTTAGAAAGTGGTATGTTTAAAGTATCAAATAAATAATGAAAAAGTAATAAATTATAATAGAATGGTATAAAATAGATGATATAGTTGGAGTGATAAGGAGAAAAGTAGCTTGCTATAACACTATTCATGAGGTATAATAGATATAACATTACATTTTTTAGCTTGTAACCTTGGAGATGTTCTTATAGTTGTGACAAAGTGGCAATACATAATGAGATTAAGCAATAAAAATAATATTTCCTCAAATTAACGTGTTTCAAACCCTATGTTTATATCGTTGCTCTCGTAAGAAAATTCGAGTCTCGAATTTTCTTCTCCCTCAAAAACATTGCGGCTAGTTTAATCAGTGCTTCATCCTCCTTTTCCTCACTAATTGTCACAAAAGTTGTACTTTCCGAATCTAGCCTCGAAACTCGTTTCTTTAACAAATTTTATCCGACTTTCACTAAATTCTTCAAATTCTTCTTCGTCGCAACATCCATTGAACACATTGCCCCGGTTAAAGAATCGTCCTGACAAATAAATTAAATACGTTTTATTTCAACTTTAAATTAAATATATCGAAAAATTGGTTTTTTTTTAATGAATCAACGAAAAAAGAAAGAAAGAAATTAAATAATAATACCTGAATTCTAAGATAATTATGTTGATAGAGTATCCATGGAAACTAAACAAAAAACGGAAACTGAAAACTTGACCACAAAATTACTAAATAGAACCGCCACTGACCCGGTCACCACCGTAACCACGGCCACCGCCATAACAACCTCCCATCGACACCCATATCCACTCTCGTCGTCGGAGACGATTTCGGTTACTCGTAAATGGTGGCTTTCCTTCGTGTACCATTTAAGATCTTCAATAGAGATTCGTTTGTTTGATTTTAGGTTGGGGGGGAGAGCAGGAGACGAGGTGGGTGGTGTGAGGAAGATGAATCTCTCTCCCCTTTTTTTCTTTTTTGGATTTTGTTTTCAATTTTTTTTTTTATCCTTGAGTATTTTGTTTTATGTTTAAGTAAGGGTAATTCTCATTTCCTCCAAGTCAACCTTAGAAAAAAATAACGTAGGAGGATTCTTGGTAGTTTATTACTTTATTTAATAGGAGGGTTTTTTCGTTCATTAAAAATTACACACATTACCTCATATAATAAATATAAAAATAAGTACACAGTCAATATATTCCCCTCTCCTGTCCTCTTCCCTTGGTTCATTTTCTTCTATTACTTCGACCTGGAAGCACCTTTCATTACCCAACTATCGCGCCGCCGCCGTCGGCCAACTTCCAATTCCAGAAGGAAAAGAATATAACCCAAAACTACCCCCAAGTAAATCTTGTGTATGTACCAACTATAATCTCTCCTCTCGCCGCTGTCAATGAAATCTGCAATTTTAACAATACTGCGTCGTTTTACTTCCTCCGACATTGTTACGTAGTGCTTAGATTTTCTGATATGTTGTGTATTATTACAATTAATAAAGTACCAACGAGGAGGCGTTATGGTAAATCTCCCTGCTCAAATCAGCCGCCTCTTAATACTCCGCCGCTTCGATGCCCTCAAAACCCTAGACTTCACTTTCTCCGACCACCTTTTGGACCTCGTCCTAAAAAATCTAAAGGGTCACCCAATTTCTGCCCTTCACTTCTTCAACCTAGCTTCTAAACAGAATTACTTCAGACCTTACTTCAAGTCTTATGTTAAGCTCATCCACATTTTATCCAATGCCCGAATGTTTGATGAAACGAGGTTATGTTTACGCGGTCTCGTTGATCTCTCGGAAAGCAGCGATCTTCCGGTTTCTTTGATTTGCGATGAATTGGTTACTGTATATAGGGAATTTAAGTTTTCGGGAACTGTTTTCGACATGGTGCTGAAAGCTTATGTGGAAAAGGGCTTGTGTAAGAATGCCTTGTACATGTTTGATAATATGCCCAAGTGGGGTCGCTTGCCGAGCTTGCGATCTTGTAATGGCCTGTTGAGTTGTTTGGTGAGAGGTAAGGATTTTCATACCGCTATTTGTGTTTATGATCAAATGATGAGAATCGGGGTTGCTCCTGATGTGTACACATGTGCGATAGTGGTGGATGCGTACTGCAAGGATGGCAGAGTTGCTGAAGCGATGGAATTTGTGGAAGGATTGGATAAAATGGGAATAAATTTGAATGTTGTGGGTTACAATAATTTGATTAATGGGTTTGTCGAGAAGGGGGATATGGAGGGGGTGGATAAAGTGTTGGGGTTAATGAGTCAAAGAAGAATTGTTAAAAATATTATTACATGTACGATGTTGATCAAGGGTTATTCTCGGACGGGGAAAATGGATCGAGCTTGTGAAGTATTTAAAGGGATGAAGGAAAATATGATGGTTTTGGATGAAAAGGTCTATGGAGTATTAATCGATGGGTATTGTCGTGATGGAAATATGGATGATGCTGTGAGAATCAAGAATGAAATGTTGAGGTCGGGTTTGGGGACGAATTTGTTCGTTTTCAATTCTATGATTAATGGGTACTGCAAAAATGGTCAACTTTTTGAGGCGGAGAAAGTTATAATGACTATGGTTGAAGGGAATTTAAAGCCGGATAATTATAGCTACACTACTTTATTGGATGGTTATTGTAAAAGAGGATTGATCGACGATGCTCTCAAGCTTTGTCGTAATATGGCTGGTAATGGTGTTTATCCGGCAAATATAAGTTATAATATTCTTTTAAAAGGTTTGTGTGATTATGGTGATGTGGAAGATGCTCTCTCCCTTTGGCAGTTGATGCTCAAGAGAGGTTTTATTCCCGATGAAATTGGATTTAGCACAATTGTTCACGGTCTTTTCAGAAAGGGAGACTTTGATAAGGCTTTGATGATGTGGAAGCAAGCTCTTGCAAAGGGCCCCACGAAAAGTACTATTTTATTCAACACTATGCTCAATGGATTGTGTAAAATGGGGAAAATGATTGTAGCGGAGCAAATTCTCGAGAAGATGAAGGAAAGGGGTTGTTCGATTGATGAAGTGACTAATAGAATCTTGATTGATGGGTATTGTAGAGCTGGAGATGTTGAACGAGCTTTTGAAATTAAAGAAATTATGGATATGGAGGGAGTTCCCGCTTCTATTGAAATGTATAATTCGCTTATTAGTGGATTGTTTCGAGCGGATAAATCGAAGGAAATTTCTAAGCTGCTTTCGGAATTTCATGCGAAAGGGCTAAGTCCTAATATTATTACATATGGAGCACTTATGAGCGGTTGGTTCAAAGAAGGGAATCTCAAGAAGGCGTTTGACGCGTATTTCGAAATGAGAGGAAAAGGAATTGCTCCAAATGTACATATATGTACCATAATTATTAGCGGATTAAATAAGCTTGGTCGGACAGATGGCGCAAATATGTTACTGCAGAAAATGGTGGAATTAGATGTTGTCCCGAATCTTAAACAATTTTACGATTTTTTCAACTTCGATAAAATTCCGACCGAAGCCCAGAAAATTGCAACCACCATTGATGAAAGTGTGAAAGGAAATATAATTCCCAGTAGTATTCTGTATAATGTTGTTATAGCTGGATTATGCAAATGTGGGAAGACGAACGATGCAAGAAAAGTTATCAGTGGTTTATCGCAAAGAGGCTTTGTACCAGACGAGTTCACTTACTCTGCCCTTATACACAGTGCAGCCACTTCGGGTGACGTTAATGAAGCTTTTCTATTACGTGACGAAATGACGGAAAAGGGTATTTCTCCGAATATAGTTACGTATAATGCCCTTATAGATGGGTTATGTAAATCCGGAAACCTTGACCGTGCATTGAGGCTTTTTCATAAACTTCAATCGAAAGGGTTAGTTCCGAATCTAATCACTTACAATACATTGATTAACGAGTGCTTTAAGAGCGGCAGCAAAAGTGAAGCACTTAAACTTATGGGGAGAATGACGAAGGAAGGGATTGCTCCTTCGGTCAAAACCTATTCTGGATTTCTTAGTAGCCTTTTGCAGCAGGGCAATGTGGATGAATACACGAAACTTTTGGATGAAATGCGCAAGGCAGGCTTTGAAACGGACTTTACGAGATACCGCAAACCATTTGAAGGTAATTATAAAACAGTCTCAAGCTTATGGTCGGTTCATGTGTGTGAAAACGGCCACTTTCTAAATGGGCTATTTTTGTATTTGCAGTTGAAGTTGTGGCGTTATAACAGATGATGGTGCTTAGTCAATTGCTCTTTGTGGGAAAACAAGGTAAATTGCTCAAGATTTTAGAGATTTAGTTTAAATGAATACTACTTATTTGATCTTATTTGCCAGAATGTAGAGACTACGTTTCATGGAATGCAATTGAACATGGATCAGATATTTACCAACTCTTTTAGGTTTCTACGCTGATAAGCGTCAAATATCGACTAATTGTGGTATATTTTATTAAATTATTGTCACATTTTGTCTTGGCTTTGTGACATAATGGAAATGTTGTTAATGGCAATAAAATTGAACTATGCTCTCTAGTTCTGTTGGCTTTACGGGGTTATATCGACTCTAATATTAATTTATATGAGGATGATAATTTCAGAAAAAAAGATACCACCTTGATCGGAAGGGTTAGAAAGAGTGATGCACTTGAAATGCAGAGCTTTTATCAGGAAAATGTTGCGAACAAAATTGATCGGTGAGTTCTTATCAGCTGTTAAATTTTTTATTTTTTTTTCTCTCGTTAAAGTGCAAGTTGTGTCACATTGTTCATCAGTAGAATTGTTAAATTTTGTCTTATGCTTTGTTCTTGACTTGGAAAAACTCGGTGCACAGCTGGCAACAAGCATAGCAAAGAGCTAATGTGCTCTTTGAGGTTTTCAACGCAATTATTAATCAGACACAATTTGTGAAGTTGATCGTGAGGTAAATATCTCTACTGTTTTTTCCTCGGGAATTTTCTATTTTTGAACAACCGTAAACACAAGTTATATGTCATGTATATTGTATGTAACTTGGCTACTTCCTTTCTATTCTGCTAAGTTCATATTTTACTATTTTACTATCATAAGTCATAACATGTCAAAAGATTGCCAAGACAACTGGATTTTAACTCGAGTAATTTATTTCATAAAATATGTTGCTCTGATGTCGTCAATCAACTTTCCTCTTAGTTGTTTTGCTTCAGATGAACCTTTCATTGAAGGTGTTGTATTAATTATTAAGTGTTCTTTTATGTTTTCTTTTTATCTAATTGAACTATTTATATGGGTGTGCATCCAAGTATACGTGTATTTTGTATTCTAAATTAAAATTGACTTATCATTAATAGGGCTCGTAAAAATTAAATATGACTTTCTGTTTTCGTCTATTGGATTTACAGGAAGTCTTTCTCCAGTAAGTGTTGTGAAGAGGAGACTGTAACGCCTCTTAAATATCTTGGGGGCTTTTGTTTTCTTCGTGTTTTCGTTTCCAAATGGAATTAAGTCCTTGCTTGGAATGATCTCAATCTCTCCCATATTTGTTCCGAAAGTTACTTTTGTAAGGGGAAAATTCTCCAAAAAAAATGACAAATTATGTCCCCTAAATGTATATACAACAAGACTGTTCTTTGGAAATTCGACTAGTTCCTCTCATGTTGAATCAACAGAATTTGAATTTAGCACAATAACTTTCAACGGTAAGTTTGTTTGGGTTCAAAATGAATTGTGTACAAATGCGAAAATTTATTTCACAAAATACATAATGTTATACATGTTTGGAAAAATCACGATTAATGGAAAAAACAAAACATGAAAAAATGTCATATATTGAAGAATAAATATATATTGAGAAACGATAATATGTTTCGTTCCTCCTCCAACTAATTAAACTATCTATATCTATATATTTATACAAAAGCAGGAATTAGCAATAATAGAAAGAAAAAAAAGAAAAAAAACGCAAGAGTACCATAGATATATCAAACTCAAACTCGATCTCTCAAGTTGCTCATGGCGATGGCCTTATTTTTGGCTCATTCATAAACCTCTTCCAGAACCAATGGCTCCTCCAGACCTGCGTCATCTCCTCGATCGGAATATTCTTTGTCTCGGGCATGAAGAAATAGCAGAACAATGTCATCACTGCTACGAAGAAAGCAAAGAAGATGAATAGACCGTACTTCATTGAGCAGAGCATTGTGAGGAAGCACTGCCCTACTATGAATGTGAAGGCCATGTTAACGGCCACCGTGACGCTCTGTGCTGCCGACCGGACCTCCAGAGGGAATATCTCGCTCGGGTACCACCCCAACGGTCCCCACGACCACGCGAACCCCATTACGTACACGCATATGCACACGACCACAACCGCCGCGAACCAAAAGGGTATATCCGTCACGTTTCCTGACACCCCGAATCTCCACCCGATTAGCCCCGCTATGAGTGACTGGAAAATGAACATTTGCACGCCGCCTTCGAGGAAGAGGCTCCTCCTCCCCCACCGATCGGAACCGTAGATTGACACCCCGGTGGCAAACATGTTGACAACTCCGGTGATCACTGACGAGATAAGTGAGGCGTCCGACCCGAAACCGAGGCTCTGGAAGAGCACTGGAGCGTAGAACATGATGACGTTGATTCCGGTGAACTGCTGGAAGAAAGGGATGAGAATGGACATGGCAAGTTGGGGTCTGTAGCACTTTGTTCCAAAAAGATTCCTCCACGGACTCTCCACGAGGTCCGCTTCGTTCTTGGCAGCCAGCATGTCGTTGAATTCGGCGTCCACGTTATCAACGCCACGTATGCGCTTCAGAAGGGCTTTGGCTTCAATCTCCCTCCCTCTTTGGACCATGGAGTTGGGTGTGTCGGAGAGGAAGAAGGAAGCGATGAGAATTATCACGGCGGGGACACCGGCAAGGCCCAAGCTCAGGCGCCACCCCCAGCCGCCGCTTATCTTGGCCGTCCCGAAGTTGATCAAATTGGCGCAAAGTATCCCAATTGTGATCATCAACTGGAAACAAATGTTGAACCTTCCACGGTAGTTGTACGGAGACATCTCGGAAAGATACAAAGGCACCGACTGCACGTCAATTCAAGAAATTAATTGGGTTGAGTAAATTAAATATCATGCATAACCATATTTAAAAACAAAGAAAAAAAAATACAAAAATAAATAAAATACCTGGTTAGCAAAGCCAATGCCGATCCCAAGTAGAATACGGCCCAAGATGAGCATGGATAGGTGGACAGCACCGGCGTTGAGGGCGGCGCCGAACAAGAAGATAAAACCGGCCATCATCATGGATATACGACGGCCGAATTTCTTGGTGACCTCCCCCGCGGCTAAGGAGGCGAAGAGGGCAGCCAAGTACAGGGAGGATGTGAACAATTGGAGTGTGGGGCTGTTAAACTTGCAGTACTGGTTGGTCGACGTGATCGATTGTTGCCTCTCGTAAACGTCAGGGAAGAATTTTTCCAAGAAAGGCGCCATAGAAGTCACCCCACCTATTCAAGAATGTCAAAATAATTCATAAGAAGAATTTCATAAAGATAGATAGATAGTAATTCATAAGTACGAGGTATATATATATACGTACCAGATATACCAAGATCGTAGCCAAAAATCAAACCACCGGCGGCTCCGGCCAATACAGTTAGGAGAACATAGGGTGTCAGTTTGCCGGGGTACGAAGGTGGAGGACTTCCTCCGTCAAAGGAAACACCACCCATGGATACTAATTAAAACTAGATCAAGAGAGAGAGAGAAGAGTTATATGATCGAGAGCTAGAGAGAAATCAAGTCAAATTAATTAAGCAATCAGAATTAATAACTGGGAAGTATGTACAGCTGTATATATAGGAAGAGAAATCGAGTAGTTGTAATTGGTTTAGGATAGGAGATATATACATATATTATTATGTTATTCTATTACAAATCCATTAATAATACTCTTTATGGATTTAGGATAGGAGTCTTGAGCTGTTTGAAGTTTGAACAACCAAACCATGCATAAACACAAAAGTTATATATTTCTTGTGCGGTAGAGTTGCATAGCAGCCATGATTCTATTTTTATACTAATGAATTATTCAAAATTTTTTTTAAATATTTTAATTACTAATCTTAATTTAAATAAATCATTATGAATTAATTAAAACATATTACTAATTCATATTTTAGTTCTTGTTAAAATATGTTTACGTTTTTCAAAATTATACTAATAGGCGCGGGCTCGTAAAACCGCCTATTCTAGCAAAACACACCATCGTCCGTTCACCCAACGGTTATTGATTTGAATGAATTAAATTGGTGGATCTCCTCCAGTAATATTACTGTCTTGCCTTGCAGGCCAAGACAATATTATTAATGAAAATAATATTTTTTTTAGAAGAAAATAAAGGTTTAAAAAAAAGTCAATGTTGGAGAACGGCGGTCAACAACGGCTGAGTCGCCGGGAAAAAAATTAAGAAAAAAAAAATTATTTTCAAAATAAAAAATCAAAAAAAATTTACCGCCGAAGTCTGACGGTGTCCATTCGTGGCGGTCAAAATTAGGGTCAAAATTGGTTGATTGGTAAAATTGGGTGTAAATCATGAAATTAAAGTTGAATTAGGGTTTCTAATAGTTGTGGGTAATTTTGGTATATATAAAAGAGTTTTCCTTATTTGCAAATAAGTTTGAATGAGATGGATTTATTTGCAAGACAAAAACGTTGGATGTCCCTTTTTTAATTAAATGATCTTCTTCTCATGGCCATATTCGTCATTTACCCTTTAAATAAATCATTATGAATTAAACTAGATTACTAATTCATATTTTAGTTCTTGTAAATTATGTTTACGGTTTTTTAAATTAAGGTAAATGACAAATAGACCCATAACACATGTACTTAATCAAAAAAGGACTTCTAGTGTTTTTGTCTTCCTGCTTTCACTATCAATCATATTATGGATGGTATTTTAGTCAATAGACATGGGTATGGGTTTATTTGCAAGACTGTTTTTTGTCTGGACCTATGTGCATTTAACTAGATTACTAATTCATATTTTAGTTCTTGTAAATTATGTTTACGGTTTTTTAAATTAAGGTAAATGACAAATAGACCCATAACACATGTACTTAATCAAAAAAGGACTTCTAGTGTTTTTGTCTTCCTGCTTTCACTATCAATCATATTATGGATGGTATTTTAGTCAATAGACATGGGTATGGGTTTATTTGCAAGACTGTTTTTTGTCTGGACCTATGTGCATTTAAGTCCCTTGTCATGGGCCTCTTTGTAATTCGCCCAAAAATCTAATAATATATAGGAGATAAAAATCTAAAATAATATTTAGGAGATACAAATCTGATAAAAATCTAAAATAATAAAAATAATTACAAATATGGCATTAGGGTTTTTTAAGTAGCCATAACCTTTCTTTCTTTTATATAGACTAGCATTTTCCCCGTGCGATTCACGAAATATTATTTAAATAGTGAAAAAAAATCAATTTAATACATAATAAGAAAATATAGTACACTACTATAGTAAAATTTAATAATGTAGTATTATTCATATTTTATATAACATTACTTTTTTTAAATCTTACATATTAAGATTTGTAATCCAAATAAATAGACTAAAATTTAACAACTCGAATTTCCAACTTGATTTGAGATATGTTGATGAAAAACCGGAGATTAATAATTGTTGAAAATTATAGTTAAAAAATTAGTACAGGAAAATATTAAAAATAAATAATTACATAAGTAGCAATAATGTAGGATTCTTCGCGGGTCAGTTTTAATTTCGATAATTGTTAAAAGTTATAGTTAGAAATTAATAGAGAAAAAATATTAAAAATAAATAATTACCAAAATACCATTGGATTTTTTTGGGTTGCCCAACGTTTAAGGAGATTATTAATTGTTGAAATTATAGTTAAAGAATTAGTACAGAAAAATATTAAAATAAATAATTATATAAGTAGCAATAAGGTAGGATTCTTCGCGGGGTTAGTTTTAATTTTGATAATTATTAAAAATTATAGTTAAAAATTAATAGAGAAAAAATATTAAAAATAAATAATTACAAAAATATCATTGGATTTTTTAGGGTTGCCCAGCATTTCTTTCTTTTATATATAAGATATAAGATATGCAAAAATCGAACCACTATATGAACTATGAACAAAAAAAAAATTGTGCCGTCGGATATTTAGAAGATAAAATCTAAAATAATATTTAGGAGATAAAATACAGATAAAAATTTAGGGTAAATGGCAAATATGAGCATGATAAGGACACTTTAATTAAAAAAAGGACATCCAACTTTTTTAACTTCCAAATAATTGCAGATCATTCAAACTTATTTTGCAAATAAGCAAAACCCTTTTATATATATACCAAAATTACCGTCAATTCATCAAAACCCTAATTCAACTCCAATTACATGTTTTACACTCCAATTTAGCCGAATTTCACCAATTAACCAATTTTGACCCTTATTCCGATTTTGACCAGCCACCGTTAGAGACTAGAGGCCAACCGCCGTTGGCTTTTTTTTTTTTTTTAAACTTGTTTTTTTTTTCTGAAATTTTTTTTGGCAGGTCAACCGCCTGTAACCGGCGTTGACTTTTGTTTTTTTAGTTTTT